GACCAAAACCATCCGGAAAGTCGTTGTATGGATCTTATATTGCTGATATTACAGGATGTCCCTGCACATTGGAAGCAGCTATGCCAGGCCATATGAGATTCTGAGCTGTCTACGTCCAGCCAGTACCCTCCCCTCCCCCTTCCCCCGTTTCTTCGATGTATGTGCGCCACCTTTTTTCGAAAGCCTCCCATTTATTGGCCATTTATTGCTAGCGGGTACCACTCACTAATGCGTCACATCCATCGGTTTTCAGCAATTTCTTAGCAACTACGGGGTTTGTTTGCTGGCAAAAAACACATGAAATCGACGATTTATGCATGTTGCTTACATAGTTTAATCAGACTTTTTTTCGGGGGATTTTTATCTTTTTTTTTTAAATTTTTTTGCTTGAAATGCGATATTTTGCTTTGGGTGAATGCAGTTTTTTCCCCCGACTTCCTCATCTTCAGGCATCTCAGGCGAATCGTTCAGTTGTCGATCCCCAGGTTCAGCTACAACGAATGTTGGAACAAGTGAATAATTCAGCAACGGCAGCAGCAACAACAACTGCGGCACCCTCTCAACCAATTACGAATGGTGGTGCCGTGGAGCAGGCACATTCGGACAAAGGGGCATCCACGACATCTCAGCAGCAGTAGCATTTATCCAGAAAGCTTTTTGCCATCCCTTCTCTTTTGCATGAAAACGACGTTTTTATTAGTCATATTGCACTTTCGCTAATTCCTGTACAGTGGTAGAAAGGCGACCTTGTCGGGTCATCGTTCCTGTGAAGTCTTAAGCGTATGTTACATGAACGGGCATTATACAGAAATGTGCTATAAGTGAACAAATTTGAATGTTTACGAGCGCGGTACCGCTACCCAGCTCACCACGCCTGAAGTACGTGGTTGAGGAACGGGGATGGAGGTTGGCGTGGTGGGGGGGTGGTTACTAGTGGGCGCCCAGATGTAACCTGAGAGGCATGGATTAGAAGATAGAGGAGAGGAACAAGAGTACATTACGTGAAGAAATTCGCTGAAGCGCAAAGAAAATGAACAGATATTTTAAAGAATAAAATTGTGAAACAGTCATTCATTTCGATGGTAAATTGGTACTGGTATATGCCAGGGAGTCAAACTGGTTATCATCAGCTTGCCAAATGCAACCACACGTTGGTAAATTCATTAGTCGATGGATTTACCAGCGTGTGGTTGCTTTTGGCATTTGCTTTCAACTGAGGCTTACTTCTTACTTCTTGGGTGTCCCCGTTTTGTAGAGTAGACGAATATAAAAGTGGTCTGTTTTAAAACTGTGACGCGTGGCAGCGATTTTTATTGTAAAATTTATACAAAACAAACGTACGTGGTGGTCAAATGTACGCCAAACAAGCATTATAATATTCTTGCTTGGGCTTTCCGTTCAGCATGACTGTGTTTTTCAAATTTTTTCCTTGGATTATGAATATACTTGTTCTAAGCATGTGGGCGAGGCATAATTTATTGCTTGTTGATACGACGCTTGTATATTTTTTTTCTCATTCGGTGATCGAATTTCTTCGGCGCTTCTTTTTCTGCCTGAATTATCGCTTTGTGTTCCCGGATGCTTTCCAAAACAAGTTAGACGCGAACTGCTCATCTCTTATCAGTACTTATTTGTGTGTTTGTTACCAGCATAAGATCTTATTATTTCCATATGATGTGTTTTTACAGATAAATGTGTGCATAACTTAATTAATCGTCGAAAATCTCACGTATGTTCTAGAAAAAGTGAGATACTGAATCTAGGTACCGCGTATGTCAGTAGATCGAAATACCCCTGGGAAGTGTCGGGCCAGACCAAATTAGAACAAGGTTTATTACACGCGATGATAATTACAGGCGCTAGTAGGATAAAGGGTTAAGTAGATCACGGATGAAGCGAAGTGTGCCAGCCGGCACTGTCGATAACAGGTGAATGCGGACCACGAACATCGGATCCTGGAGCTTATGTACTGCTCTTCCTGCAAGTAATATCATGAGTCACAATCTCCGACAGCGGGGATTGAGAATGTTCTGCATGGGAATCAAGGAAGGGATTAAACATCGTAGATCCCATCTACGATGGGAAAAGCGGCGGGAAGATAGGTAGTCTGGGAATGAGGGAATCGGACTCCTGTCGGAGATCCGATCTCCGCTGGGAACGTCGTTCCCCGACGTCCCATTGGAATGTCATCGAAAGATGACAAATCATTTTGTTTTATTCCGGATTCTTACCATTAGGGATGGGGGGTAGGGAGGTAAGGCGATGAATTCGCTTTTACATTCTCCAGGAGTTACCTTCACTTTCAGGCTCTAAAACATCGCCATCGACCGCATTCACAAAGTTGAACCAGTTCCTGATGCGCCTCAAAATACAAGCGTATTTGGTGAGAAGAGTGCCGGTCCTGTGTACAATATTTGTGGTACAGAAACGTTGCCAATTCAACTTTTAGCAATTTTATGTTTCTTTTTTCCCCTGTCAGGGCTAAGTCGGAAACCCCCACGTATTCGGTCTTCTACAGGGGCAAATTCCTCTTCTTCAACAGGTTTTAATTACGGATTTCTGTTTTTGTACGGAAGAATATATTAAGTCAGGGCCTCCTCCGTACCCACTGTTCTGTCGGGGAGCAAACTTCTCCCTCTGTACAGACAAACTCGCGTAGCTCTACAGCTGCATCCCTCCCTCCGATCGCAGTCACTTTTTGCGGGGGCAAATTTTTCCAGGATTTTAATTTACGGATTTTTATTTTTGTTTGGGGAAAATTGTGTCGAAAAATTTCATCGCCTGAAAATCGAATTTTACTAGAAATTGCCTAGACTATTGTTGTGGAGCTCACGCTGTCCGCAATGTTTCGGGTAGGGCAGGGGAGAAGGGGGGGGGGGCAGAATTCAGCTTCTTCGGGGAATCAGATTTTTTTTATATTAATACTGTAAAAACCGGAATTTCACTGATAAACGTTTTTTTTTTTTCTTACCAGTAATCAACGGCATGCGCATGTTATATATACATCAAAAAATCAACAATACAACGATAATATAATCTGATAACGCTATGCTTCAAATGGCATAAATGTTAGCGTATTATCATTG